TAACTCTGAAAACCAGGGGTGGGCTGCTATGGGTTCACCCGGGTTCGGGAGAACCCGTAGCTAACATTATGGCTGGTTCGGAGAACCTCCAAATCCCACTACAGGCTGGCCCCACCCAACCCCTTCCACTCTACCCCTCCCCTCCCATGAGTCTCCACTCGGCCCATTTTGGATGCAAGGTAAGTGCAGGGCCCACACGGATGCTGGGGGGGGGAATGGGCCTCCCAGAAATTCTGGAAGGCCAGAAATGGCCTCGTTTCTGGCTTCTGGAGGGCCTCCGGATCCCGGGGGAGGACATTTTCACCCTCCCAGAGGCTCGAGGAAAGCCTCCAAAGTTTGGGGAAGACAAAAACGGCCCACGCCCACCGTGGTGCAGGAGCACAACTAGACCACGCCCACTCAGCAACCAGGCAGAGAACCCTTTGCTGAAATTGTTGAAGCCCACCCCTGCTGAAAACTATAGTGGCAATGCAGAAGACCATCATTATTTTGAAAAATTTAGTGACAATATTTTGATTTCTTCTTCGTATTAAAACGAAGTTGGGAAGTTTAGAACTCATTCAGAGCTTGTTTTTTCTCTCTTGCTTTTTGAACAAAAGAGAAAAAAAGGGGAGAAGAGGGGAGACAATTTGTCATGTAACTGCAAAGTTTTGTTTTTGGCTGGGAAAGTCTTAGACTTTTAATTCCCATTCAGACTCATGTGCCATTCAATCAAAGTCAAATCTTGCAGTCTTGATCATAACAGGGCCATGAAATTATCAATTCGGGTTTGATACAAACCTTGTTTGTTTGTTGAAAGGTTCTGTATGAAACCTAGCACTAGGTAGTGCGTTAACTGGCTGTCCTTGAGGTATCTCTGCTGTCATTATTTAAGGAGCTCCTCACTGATTGGAAGAGATTTGGGCATCACCTTGCTTAGCATGTCTGCTTTTTATATTAAGACTTTTAACTCCGTTTGCATGAGCTAATAGGAAAACATAACTCTCCATTGTTTACTGGGCTGCTTATTTCCTCTGGATGCAAGGCAGAGGTGGTATTCAGACGGTTCAGACTGGTTTGGGCGAACCGGTAGCGGAAATGTTGAGTAGTCTAGAGAATTGGCAAACATCACCTCTGGTTGGCCCCACCCTCCCGCCCCCATCGTTTCCTGTCCTATATTCCCTTGGTTTTTAGCTCAGCTGATTTGCGGGGCAGAGCGGATTGGCGCACCTCAGCTGAGCCAAAAAAAAACCAGCTGAGCTCACCAGCTCTCACACTGAGGGCGGTCTTTGAGTGCTGATCATGTGTGCAAAGCACGCCCTCATAGAATCATCTGGAAAAGATTTGGAATCCCACCACTGATCCAAGGGAGCCAATTGCCTGGGCATCTCTTCAATGCCCTGACACTTGGCAAAACAAGACATGGTTCTGCCACAGTACCTGGGGGAGGGGGGAGGGTTTAGCAATAAATGGTGGGGGACTTTTACAATGCCTGTGTTCAGCTGACGTAAGGCTGGATTCTGCTATTGTCTATGATTTTTTGGTTTTAAATGGAATGTGGTTTTTATATATTTGTATATTGATTTTTGAATTGGCTTTTATTGGATTTTTTTTTAAAAAAAACCTGTTGCAAGTCCCTTAGATGAGACACGTGGCCAGACAAATCAAATAAATAATAGCATTTTTTTGCAACCATCATATTTAAACATCCAGGAAAAGAATGATTTTGGACCCTGGCAAGGGCCAAATGTTTTGAAGCCCCCTTAGGAGAGCAGTTGCATAGTCATCCCAGCCGTAGCTCCATGCCCTCCCCTTCCTATGACCAGATTGCTCTCCCCCTTTGCAGTGTCCGCGTTAACTTCCTCTCAAACATTTAAAACTTCCCAGACGTCCTACGAGCTTAAGTGGATCATATCAAGATATATTTGGCTGGATTTAGTTTTATTGGAGTGGGACAGATGCATTTTCTCTGTTGGTTTATTCAGATTTAAAAGAGACAACCGCATTCTACTGAGTGACATCTGACTGATGTCTTCTCTAAGACAAGATTGGTTTGTGGAATCCACTTCACTATGGTTCCCCCCCCCCCTTTTAAACTAGACTTCCAAACTTTGATGACATAGGAATACTTGCTGTTAAAAAAAAAATCCACGCTTGAAGCCTATTTTTAATCCTAGCACTGAAGAGAGGTCATGGTTCATTCCTCTTTACCCCAAGCCTTTTAACTCCAGGAGTGCAAATATAGGGTTGGGAATGCTCTATTCATAGATGTGTGTTTGATGGCATCTAATACATGATCTGATGCAAGACTCCTCTCTCTCTCTCTCATTCTGACAGTATAATATCCCAGTAGATCCATATTTCTTAAGTACTAGCTGATAACCCAGTCTTGCCCTGGTATTTATTTATCCCAACCCTGTATTCGACAGGAAAAGGAATGAATTATATGTTGGATTTCCCCCCTTATCAGAGGGAGCCGCCTTGTGGAGTACTGTGAAACTGTTACCATGGCAACTCCACTGTGCTGTACAGTAGAAGTCACTTTAAGGCAGTACAGTAGAAGTCATTTTAAGGCACAACAGGCTCTAAACAGAACACACCTCCCGTGGGGTGTTAGGGATGTTTTATCCCCACACCGTCCAGGCCTTCCGCACAGCCCTTAAGAACTGGCTAGCCCTTCAGGCCTGGGGACAAGGATAGTTGCCCCTCCCGAATGATGAATGTATGTTGCTTATTA